TATGGCTTTGCTTATCCACTATGACCCCTGTATGAAATCAGGTTTGTTTGACAAAAGCTACGTATCCACAGAACTAGGCTGAGTGGCATTAATTATATTCATATTCTTCAATTCATCATTAGCTAACTGAATCCTGTATCTGCTTTTCCATTATTTTCCCCCAGGACTGATATCAGGCTTGACAGCCTATAGTTACTGGGTCATCCTGTCTGCCCTTACTGAATATTTGCACAACATTAGCACTTTTCCTGACTTCTGGTCTTTCCCCAGTATTCCATAATTTATTACAAATAAACACCACTTGGTCAGAGATCACCTCAGCCAATTCTTTTAGGACTCTTGGGTGCAAGTTATCCAGGCCTGCTGATTTTAAAATGTTTATCCTTACATTCAACTTGATGGCATTTCATCATTTGGATATTACAAAGTAATATGCTTCAGAAGGCAGCATCTGATCAATGGCAGAATCCTATTGATTTTGATGGCAAGCAGGAAAACCGGAAGGTGGAAATGGGGGCATACAGAGCCCCGGCATGTCTGCAGATCAAGGAACCAGTTGATGTCACCATCGACACCTTCCAGCATAACCACCACCCCATCAGCTCTGCCCACCACCCAATGGAGTTTACCGTGTTAGAGAGAAATGGAATAAAAAGGAGGAAAGTTAGGGGCGGCAGAGAGCCCCTGGCATGGGAGGGAGAGGGAATAGGGGGACGCAGAGCCCCGGCACAGGGCAGTTGTTTTTGAGCACAGTGCAGGCATGAGGGGCACAGGGCACACTGAGTGGCAGACTCTGATCAGACAGGGGATGGCTGGTTCCCAAAACCTCAATGGCCAGGTCGAGTTTGCAAGAACAGAACCAAAGCCAGCTGGGAGACTGTTTGTGGGCAGGCAGCAGGGAAATGCTTTGCAGAGCTGGCCGGGTCGCTGTCTGCCCCCATGGACGGCATCTGCCCCTACACCAATGTCAGATCATCACTGCGTCTCGCTGACCCCGCAGGATCAGGACTAAAAACGCCGTCATTCACCTGCAGCTTGCCAGGACACGCCAGCCCTTCCTGCTGGACGAAGACCCCGGCACTGCTCCCCTCCCACCCGGAGCACTGACATTCCCTGCAACACAGGCTAGGCTGCTGTGTACACATCGGGCCCGTGCTCCTCCCCAGCCGGCCCCTTTGGTCCAGATCTCCAAAGCCATTCATGGACTCCGTCTGCTCTGGGCTTTGTGATCGGCATCTTCCCAGCAGCTGGGACCTTGGCAGCACAGTCCCAGTGCTGCAGAGCTCACAGTCTGAACTGCCCACAGCGGGAGGGGACACAGAGCAGCGGGGCAGCTGGGTTTTATTGGCCGTTCTCGCTCTTTCTCAGCAGAGGTCACTTGGGTTTTATTGACCTTTTGGAGAGGGGAAGGCAGAGAGACTGGGGCATGTTGGATCCAAACATTCAAACCTTCCAGCATGAGACCCCAGCCACCTCAGCCAAAGGGGTTGCAGAAAGGGGGAGCAGAGGGACTAGCTCACCCACAATGGAAATATTGGTGTGTGTGGGGGGGGGGTTTCAACACCGTGTAAACTCACAGAGGGGCTGCTGAAGCAGCCACTGCAGCACCCAGGATCAGGCCAGGGAGCAGATAGGAACCACTGGGACCCCCCCAGCCTGGAACTATCTCCCTCTTCCCCACCCCAGCTGAGCCTCAGTAGCTCCCCTCGCTCCCCTGTTCACAGCAAACTGTCCTCCCCTTCCCCCCACTCGCAAGGGCCGAGGTCTGAAAAGAGACAGGAACACAAACAGTGCAGCATGATGCAGAGACAGCAGATGTTTCAGTTCTGTGTTTGGAAAGAAGCAGAGTGAGGTTTCCATATCTTGCAGGGATAATGAAATGCTCGAGTCCATCGGTAACCAGGGAGGGTGTTAAACAGCAGCTGCTACAAATAAACAGCTTTGCATTGGCAGAACTGGATAACTTGCACCCGCAGTGTATGAAAAGTGTTGGCCCAGGAGCTGATAACTTGCACCCGCAGTGTAAGAAAAGCTTTCTGAATCATTACATGTTTTTCAACGTGGCTGGGAACAAGGAGAAATTCCGTGGGACGGAGCTCATGGTGCACCAGTAAAAGGGGCACATGGGATGACCTGGTTACTACAGGCCAGATGGCCTGATATTGGTCCAGAATAAAATCATGGACAGGCTGATGTGGGAGGCAACGAGTCAAGAATTAGAAGATGGCAGCACAAGTGATGCCAGTCACCGGGGTTATGGAAAATGGGTCTCGTCAAACAAACTTGATATTGTTTTTAATGAGATCCCATGTTGGACTGATAAAAGAAATGTGTTGTCATAAGAGAGAGACTTCTGGAAGACGTTTGACTTTATCTCCTGTGACATTCTGATAAAAAGATCAGCACTACACAAAATCACTGTAGCCCATAGTAAATGGATTAAAATTGGTTACCTGTTAGAGCTAAAATGTAACTGTGAATGGAGAATAGTCATCGAAGGGGAGTGTTTCTGCAGGGGTCTTAACAGGGATCTGTTCTTGACCTGATGCTTTTCGATATCTTTATCCATGATTTGGAAGAAAATATAAAACCATCCAAGGGGTGTTTTCTCTCTCTGGTGTAACCCTCACCCCGTCCAAAGGGCGTTTACTCTCTGGGTGAATTCAGCAAACCAGCAAGGAGAAACCGGACACACAAATTCTAGTTTTTACAATACCCTCGCCCTGCACCCACCCATTGATGGCCTGCAGGATTTGCTCCTGAAATCCTCAGCACCTAGGGTGATCAGATGTCCTGATTTTATAGGGACAGTCCCGATTTTTGGGTCTTTTTCTTATAAAGGCTCCTATTACCCCCCACCCCCATCCCAATTTTTCACACGTGCTGTCTGGTCACCCTATCAGCACCCCAGGACAGGCCTCTGTCACATGATCTGGAGGAATCATAGACTCACAGAATCATAGACTTTAAGGTCAGAAGGGACCATTCTGATCATCTAGTCGGACCTCCTGCACAACCAGGCCACAGAATCTCACCCACCCACTCCTGTATCAAACCTATGTCTGAGTTATTGAAGTCCTCAAATTATGGTTTAAAGACCTCAAGGTGCAGAGAATCCTCCAGCAAGTGACCCGTGCCCCATGCTGCAGAGGAAGGCGAAAAACCTCAAGGGCCTCTGCCAATCTGCCCTGGAGGAAAATTCCTTCCCGACCCCAAATATGGCGATCAGCTAAACCCTGAGCATGTGGGCAAGACTCACCAGCCAGCACCCAGGAAAGAATTCTCTGTAGTAACTCAGATCCCACCCATCTAACATCCCATCACAGGCCATTGGGCATATTTACCGCTAATAGTCAAAGACCAATTAATTGTCAAAATTAGGTTATCCCATTATAACTATTGATCCCTAGGGGAGCAGCCACAGAGGGGGACATGACATACTTTGCCAGTCAGTCACACACCTCTGTTAGAGATCAGGACTCCCGAGTTCTAATCCTGGCTCAGGGAGGGTAGCATTGCCCCGTGGTTAGAGCAGCAGCGGCCAAGCAGTGTGGCCAAGCCGCTGAGAGCTGCCCCCTGGCTCCAGCTCTGCCAGAAGTGGCGTTGTGCAGCCTCTCGGTGCCTCATCAGTAAGACGGGCTGAGCCACGACTGCCCTTGCGCAGGGTCTGAGGCCTCGCTCAGTGCAAGGCACTGCACAGAAACACGGACAGCAGCCACACAGGGGCTCCCGGGTCCCAGCCCAGTGCCCCTTCCCGCAGGCTCCAGGATATTGGGCGGGGAGCCCCCCGCTCCAGTGTGGCACAGCAGGACAGGCAGCCCCCATCACATGACACGTGCA